CATGCATGCACACATACATACATACGTACATACATACATACGTACATACCTACATACATACGTACATACATACATACATACATACGTACAAAAATACATACATACATACATACATACATACATACATACGTACGTACGTACGTACATACATACATACATACATACATACACACACATGCAGACAACATGTGTATGCATGCATATTAACTACACCCACATGTGTACGGATACATGTACGATGTATGTACATGTGCATGTATACATAATATTTGTACATATACTACCGGTGTCATATTCTGAACGATGTTGTGTTTTGCCCCCATGATCTTCTGAGCATCACTGTCTACCTACCTATCTACCGACGTATGTGTGCATACATACATACATACATACATACATACATACATACATACATACGTTCGTGCGGACGTATATACACGCATACATACAGACGTAAATACAGATTGTACAAAGGAAACCAGAAGGCCTGCATTTCGTAGGACGAGATAGATATTTGTATATACACACACACATATACGCACAGTTGATATGAGATATATGATATATTTTAGTACATACATATGTACATATGTATGGCATCCTGCTCTTCGTTTGTACGTGTGTAAATACCAATATGAGCTCTGCAAAAGTGAGGCAAGGCTGGCCGCTGGCCGAGCCCAGGTGCCCCCAACAGCAACCGAAACTGTTCCTGCGACGCTCTTGAAGGTGCGACATTCCAGTCCGTGGGCCCGAGAACACACATGAAGATCAGAGTTGGAGTGAGTGGAGTAGATGTTTGACTTGATCTGCTCTCGAAACTCAAGCTCCAAGAACGTGACAATCTTTCGCCTAGGCTTGACAAGATCAAAACTTATACTCCCGAAGTTTCTTGAACATTTTTAATCTGGAGAAGGCCTTGGACACATGAACGCTGTTGAACACAGTTGCGCCAGAACAAACGAACATCACTATGCTGCAGCTGCCGATATCCACTCGGTAGGCTGGCTTACAACCCAGAATACTGCTACTCACCCTAAGCTGCAGGAGGATCCGTGGTTCTTCGGGCGAAAGCCTACTGCACATGTCGGAGAGCAGCAGGAAACCCGTTCTTCGCATTCTGCCTGCACCTGCGCTGAAGCGGTGTTGCTGGGCTCCGGTTCAAGTCGTAGGGGTACCAGGTATTCGGTGGGAAACTGCTTGTTCTCCAAAGAGCTCAAGAGTCCTCCAAACAAGGCGAATGTCTTGCAGAGAAATTCGACATCCAAACAGGGCCGGGAACCCAAATGGCAAACCGCAACCCCGGCTGGGGCGCACCGCAGCACTCGACCACGGAATGGCTCCTGACCAGCGACTTCAGAATGGGATGCTGGCACATAAGCCATCTTTCGGATTTGCTGGCAAAGTGAGACAGCATGCCGAGTCGAAGGGAAACTCCGAACTCATCGATGAAAACCTCTTCCACTTCCCACCGAAGCTCCTCCCCCACTGGGAAGAGCTGACCGAAAGGTAAGAAGGCGTCCTGCGTCATATAGGCGTGGCACAGAGAGCTGCCGACTGAGGACACTAACGTCGCAAGACCCCGTCTCTGGAGGCTAAACTCTCAGAATAGACAGCGGGAGCAGTGGCATATTGCACGGGAATGACGCTTCGCAATGCCAAGATTCCCCAAGCGTGCACATGTTCGCTGATGCTTTCCAACCCCCGCAAGCTTTGCGTTGAACGCAAACACGGAGCCCAGTGAAAGCGAAAGCCCCGCACCACTGGATCCGATCGCATCAGCAGCTCGGCATAGAAAAAGTTATGCCGGTGCCACACCCTGCGCAGTGCTGGGATCAGTCGAAGAGTTTCAGTTTGACGGAAAGCTGCAGCACTACGACTCCAAAATCAACATCTCCTAGCCCGCCGTCATGTTAGGTCCTTGAAATGCCGCGCGTTAAACCCACTGCGCTCAACGGCTCACCCACTAACAGGCAGATGCCACACAGGATCTCAGAGAGGACTGCCCAAAGGCACACTCCGTCCCAGTGCGTTGGCCTCATCTTCTCGATAGGAAATGGCCCTTGAATGTTTCCGGACGGATCGATATACCTGGTGGCATAGCACAACGGCAGCAGCTGTCATTTGCAGAAGTCACCAAGACCCTCCTTTTTTGACCGACCGGGTCCCGTGTCTTATCCCCACAGCTCAGCTCTAAGGTGCAGACTGCCATCCGTTGTCCGGACATGGGGCCATCTTGACGTCCTTTTTCCCTCCGCCACCTGGATAACCTGCGGGCGGTTGGGGAACCACACAGAAGCGGCAAGCCATAGTCGGTGTAAATATGTGTAAATCATGCTCAGCCTTTTTTACGGCAGCATTCGCTCTTGCCTGTATGCCAATGTGAAACTCATCACTGCAGCTTGATGGCCTGAACTAGGAACGGTTTACAGCAAAATACACGGGCTTTTCGTAACCGCCGGGTGTAGGCACTAAGTCACCGAAGTCAACTGTGCATCATGTTGAACAAGTCGAAGCATTGGTTAATCGAACTCTCCTCAGAGAACCCACCGGAGTTCTAAACCATGGGCATCAGCAGTCACTCTCGTCCGTGATGGCCATCTGTCCAAACTGTGCAAGCTGCACCTTGGTGTCTACTAACTTCGTGCTGAAATTCAACACTGTTGAGATTCATGCTAGCGTATAAGCCTCACCTCATCCTTTGTAAACTCTACTCACGGCAAACGGAGCATACAGGACAAAGGTATTGCGACACCGGTCGAAGATCCCATGCTACCAGTGTGGCTGTGACAGGCGCTGCTGCCTGGCAGTCCACCAACATGCCAAACGCAAATCGAGCTGCATAGCCGAAGTTCCAGAGGTTGGGCAGCCCGAAATGGGGATACTGCGGCCAAAGCTCCGTACCTTGCGTGACCATGCGCTGATATCGAGACACACGTGTGCGGCTTTGGTTTGCCAGGGCAGTGGAGTTTTGGCTTCCGTGTCCCTTAAACTCAGACGTCGTCACCTGGGTCAATACTACCCGCCGTGTTGGTACACATGCTCAACATGTCAGCATTTGCTGAAGCTTCCAGACTGCGTAGGATTCCGATAGCAGTCCGCCTCACTCCTACTCAGATATAATATTTTGTAGCATACATGTCTGTATATGCGTGTGTGTGTATATAGGGCTCAGATAGCCTGTAGTCAGGAAGACTGTTGCCCCAGCGCCTGAGTTGGCGCGATTTTTAGCTGCCATTGGGAAGCCATCGCCCTCTTGGCATCGCCGCGACAGAGCTAAGCGCTCTCGGACAAGACGTGCACTCCGACTAGTGACTAAGAGCTGCACCTACTGCAAGGCAGGCACAACGCCTGTTTGTGCATCACGCCTCGTGCCCCACCTTGAAACGACGGCTGCTCGAGTTTATGGGTCGAACCAGCAATCGGCCATGGCGAGCAACCAAGCCAACTGGGTCGCAAGACTGGCAGCTTTGGCGTGGCTCTTGGGGATCGCCAAGTCAGCGACAACAGCAGGCTGCGAGCAAAGCGAGATTCCCGCGATACGACACAGCCACTCCGGCGAGTGTTTCTTCCGGGAGTGCAGTGCCTGCCCAGGCAGCTGCAGCCAAAGGGCCCTTGCAGACGTTCCAGTCTGCATTGAATGTGGCAAGAAAGGCCGAGCAGAAGGTCATCAAGATCCAGGCGGCGCAGGAAACCTTGAGGCAGCAGTGGGCGACCTTCGAGAAGGACCTACAGAAGACGTACCTGGAGGAGAAGGCCAGGCATGTGAACGATCTCTCCCGACTTGCGTCGGATCTAAGCGATGCAATGGGGAGCCAAGCAGGCGCGGATTGCGCTGGTCCAGCTTGTTGCCACAGGCCAGACACCAGGAATGCTGGAAGAAGCATCCACGGACCAGACATGGACGCAATTAACCGCTACCTGGGAGCAGGAGGCACAGGCTGGCATGAGCGGAGTGCTTCAGCGGGCCATGCAAGCAGCCCCTGCTATGGTGACGCCTCAGAGAACAAGAATGGCTGCTCCCCGGACTCCCGTCCATGTGCACCCATCTGCTGCCATGCAGTGCGAGGCTGTTACAGTGGGTACTCCACCCAGCCCGAGAGCGACGGAGGATCCGTATGCTGCGCTGGGAGTGTGAACGAGTCCCCTTCCAACCTGGCTCATGTGATGCAGAGGCATGCAATGCCTGCGGAAGTTTCTCCTGCTACCAGGCCGCCTGGGCTACATCCTGGACAGCGAGACAATTCGAGGCCCCGGGTGCCCACATCGGAGGCCCCCCCGCGAAGCAACATCAAGGATGCGACGAAGCAGGTGCCTCCACCAGATGCCTCGGTTGGGGTGTCCTTGGCGGAGAAGCTGGAAGCAGCTCGAGTTGCGGAGATGCAGCGCATAAGGTCTGCAACGGAACCCTTTGGCGGACGACGGTTGCAGCAGCAACACGAGGCGCTGAACCCGGCTGGAGCACCAGGATCTCACGAAAATGTGGCAGGCATTGTGGACGACGATCCAGATGGCGAGGAGGAGGGATTGGATGTTCCCCCCGTCTTCGGTCTGGATGCTTGAGCGCGGTTCTTCCGTGGACAAGGGATGATGATGCGGCGATTCTTTCCCTGGTGGGCCGAGAGGCTGTGAGCACAACTTGCTGTGGTTGCAAGCTGAGTTCCTGCCTCAGGCTGCCCGTCGGGTTGATCGATAGCTGGCACTCTCGTTCTTGTGTCCTCTGGAAGAACCTTGTGATGCCTTTCTGTACAGCAAGGGTTCTTGTACAGGATCTTTCCGCGTCGTCACTGCCTTGCTGCCTCATCCTCGCCCATCGATAGCTGCCGAGCTATCTCCCCCAATGTCTTCCTCGGCTCCTTGGCGGAATTTTGGACTTCCTCTCGCCTGCCAAGGATGCCCCCGCCGAGACGCTATTCTTGCAGCGCCTTGCGCTCCGCTTGAAAGTGGGATTTTTGCTCCCAGTGAGGTCTTTTGGCCGTGTACTGAGGAGCCCAAGACCGGTTTTGCCGCTCATGTAGCTGCCGGTACTACTTTGGTGACTCTGTTGGGTGCGCGCAACACATGTATCGGTCGCTCAGGGACATGGGCCCCGACAGATGTCGCCAACTCCTCTGCTGCAGCACACCAATATTCTGTTTGGTGTTCCCTCCCCCCCTTCTTGAGGCTCTTTCAAGAATTCCAGCTCACGTTGCGCTGGCTTCTGCTAATCGCCCTGCTCGGCCTGCTTTTGGATGCCTTTCCAGGTATGTCTCCTAGGTCGCGCAGGTGCATAGGTCTCTTCTCTGCGGCAGTCCCGAAGAGCATTGTTATACCGATTGGCAATGCTACCGGAGGTGGCCCCTGCTTGGATTGGTCCCCTTGGGCAGATAGGAAAGGCCGGGTATGCGTCAAAAGGGCTGCACGGCAGGACCGGCAAAAACAAGGTCGTTGGAGGATTTTGCGATGCCTCCTCAGCTGCTTCACTCTGCACAGTTTTCCGGTTCAGGTTTGGGCCATGCCATCTGGGGCAGCGCGTGCCATTGATGTTCTTCATAGAATTGCGGCTAGTATACCTGACAATCTGCCTGCTGCCACCGAAGCACCTGCAACAGGATCTATGCTGGCGACATCCTCCACCGGTTTTGCGCCTCCCGGAGGACCCTTTACTGCAGCCAGAATTGCTGTGGCTACGTGGCAAGCCGAGAATCTCCAGAGTGCATGGCACTCTGAAACGGCGGAAAACATGTTGCTGCTCCTTGATCCGGAAGTGTCTGCAGATGTTTTCCCGGATGGAAGCAAAGCTGCCAAGGCGATGCCCTTTGAGGTTCCCCGATGGACAACCCCGCCTAGGATGTCCTTTGTTCTCTCGGGCCTGCCCTTCCAACCTGAGTTGGTACCTCCTCCCAAGGTCAGCCTTTCCCTGTCCGAGCCCACCAGTGTGCCTCTCCGCGATGCGCAGGCTCTGGCGACATGGACGGAAGCCGCATGTACAGTTGTTGCGAGCTGTGTCAATAAGGCTCAATCGCAACCAGTTTTGCTCATCTGTCCAGGCCTGTGGGACTCCTTGCCGCCCCTTCGGGGTTGGCTAGAAGCGCTCGGTTTTCTCTGTGATGCATCCGGTTTCAGGTCACCCGAGTGAGCTTCTTCGGTTTCACTTCGAATTCGTTTTCTTGCATAGGCGCGCGTCTGATCAGACTCTCCCGCACGCAAATGGAAAAAATGTGTGTATATATATATATATGCATTTGTATGCATGCATGTTCTGTAAGTGCGTATATTTGTGTATACACACACACACACACTAATCCTGCCACAGTCACCGTCCTCGGCCTTCCACCGGAAAGGTTCGTGCCTCTGATGGCCTCAGCCACATCCGGCAACCAGGCCAAAGACTGGAACTAAGGCCTCCTGGGCGTTCGGCTTGGGCCGCTGATGGCCTGGGCCTGGAGCTTCTTCAGCAAGCAGCGGTTCACCACCTGCCCCATTTTCGGGAGGAGAGCTACTCATGCCATGCAGGCTTGAACTGATATATATATATATATATATACATATATATATATATATGCCTGCTTCAACGGCGCTTCACTTTGACTCGGGTGGTCGGTGCCAAGTGCACACAG